GAAACCCAAGGAGGGGTCACTATGAGCCAGAACAGACTCAACAGCAGTGGGTTTGGTTTTCCATATATGCTATTCCAGAACTCCCTTTACCCTATCTTTATTCTGGTAACTCCTAACAAACAAACAAAACTAAAATCTATTACCATCAACTCAAGATGGCATAGGTGCCACCCAGGGGTCAAACCACTTACTTTTAGGCTAGTAAGCAAAAAAAAAGACAGAAACAAACTCACTGCCATTGAGTCAATTCCCACTCATAATGGCCCCCATTGGGTTTCCGAGGCAGTAGATCTTTACAGAAGTAGATTGCCCCATCTTACTTCTGTGGAGGGATTTGTGGGTTTGAACTGCCAAACTTCTGGTTCGTAGTCCAATGCCTTAGGCACCATGCAGCCACAGCTCCATTTTAGGCTAGTATTTGAGTGAGAACTGTTTGCACCACCCAGAGACCTAATTACTACAGCCCTTTACAACTCAGATTACCTCATCCAGAAAGTTCTCCTGACCCCTAATCAGATAAAGACGCCTCTCCTCCATGTTCACAGAACTATGATCAGTTATTTTCTTTCTGAAGCCCCCACTCACTGTAATCTCAGAGCAGAAATGGTGCCTTAAAGGAATCACTTTTTTCAACACCTAGCACAGTGCTGATACACAGCACTCAATAAATATTTATTGAATGTATAAAATGAATGAGTAGGTTTTATCATCAATTAACTGATTATCATAATATGTATATGTTGTTGTTGTTGTTGTTGTTGTTGTTATGTGCCGTCGAGTCGGCCCCGACTCATAGCGACCCTTCCTTGGGCTTCCGAGGCAGTATCACTACAGAAGTAGGATTGCCCAACCTTCCTTCCGAGGAGTGGCCAGTGGGTTTGAACCGCCAGCCTTCTGGTTAGCAGTCAAGTGCTTTAGCCACTATGCTACCAGAGCTCCTAATATGTATATGAGGATAGTATATTACCAACAGGCAGTGGATTTAGCTTCAAATTGCATTTTTATACAATATCCAGGTATGCTTTCCTATCTCCTAGTAGCTAATGAGATAGTAAACCAGAGCAAGAATATAGTGTGTGGGTTCTGAGGCAGTGCTTTTCTCCGGGCAAACACAACTGCATCTTGGAATCAAATCCAAGATCTTGTTCTCGTGAGTAAGTTTGACAATAAGCTATGCTGGTAGCATAGTGGCTAAGACACTTGCCTGCTAACCAGACGACTGGCGGTTCAAACCACCAGCCACTCCTCGGAAGGAAGGTTGGACAATCCTACTTCCGTAGTGATACTGCCTCGGAAACCCAAGGAAGGGTCGCTATGAGTCAGGTATGACTCGACGGCACATAACAACAACAACAACAACCACTCGAATGGACCAGCTTCACAATCTCCTATTGCACTTCTGGACAGTGAATGGGGAAGACCAAAGAAGAAAGTTGTGCATCAGGGTTGTATCCTATCACCATACTTTTTCAATCTTTATGCTGAGCAAATAATCCAAGAAGCTGGACTGTACAAAGAAGAATATGACATCAGGATTGGAGGAAGACTAATAAACAACCTGCTATCGCAGATGACACAACCTTTCTTGCTGACTTGAAGCACTTACTGATGAAGATCAAAAATTACAGCTTTTAGTATGGGTTACACCTCAACATGAAGAAAACAAAAATTCTTACAGCTGTACCAATAAGTAACATCATGATAAATGGAGAAAAGATTGAAGTTATCAAGGATTTAATTTTACTTGGATTCACATTCAATGCCCACTGAAGACTCAAAAAATCACACAACATATTTCATTGGGCAAATCTGCTGCAAAAGACCTTTGTGAAGTGTAAAAAGCAAAGATGTCACTTTGAAGACTAAGGTGCACCTTAGGACTAAGGTGCACTTTTAGGGTTAAGGTTCCCCAACCCATGATGTTTTCAATTGCCTCATATCAACAATCTCTTGAAACAAACTGAACAAAAGACATTAACATTTTATTATAAACAAGGCACTCTCCTAAGTCCTTTATATAGTTTAATCCTTACACTCTTGAGTTTTTATCACTCTGATGTCCACTTTATATCATGATAGAATTGAGTCTTAATCTCTCTAGAGATTAAATAATTTATTCAGACCACTCTGTAAGTGGCAGTGTCATGATCTGAATCCAGAACATCTGATGCCAGTGCCCACTAATACACATTGACTCTTCCAGGGTCCTCTAGTTCCTATTTTGTCATTCAATGTATCCTGTGCATGACTGCTGCCTGAAAAAAACTCCTTTAACAGGACACATTTATAAGCTCCTCTTCAATAAAGGAGATTTATTGAACAACATGTATTATTGCATGAGCTTTCACTGAACAACCTGCCACAGTGCCCTCTTAGATATGTCAACATGCTCAGATTTTCTTCTTCAGAGACTGAAGTCAGCACCATCATCAACTCAGAGCTCACCTGGTTCCTTTAATCTCAGTATCACCTGCACTTTCAGAGGAGAGCTACTCTCTTCGCTGGCCCCAGTTCTGGAGCCCTTGCCTGCTAGTCTAGCCTTCCACCTCTGCTGCCAAAGGTAGGGATTCACAAATTCACAGTGGTTTCTTTCAACATATTTTCACAGCCTTCTCAATCTAGTTAATCCTATTTTCAACCATATCGTAACACCAACCAATCTATATAATCCATATTCTTTCATGCTACCTGGTAAAGTGTAGCTTCTATTGTTTCTTTGTTTCCTCATGCTCCTTCTTACCTAGAAGTGCCTTCAGTATCATCTCTGCCTTTCCAAACTTGACCAATTTATAAAACTCCATCTCAAATTCTGTTTCTCCCATAGTACTTTTCTTAACTATTTCAGTGCTCTCCTTCTTGGGACTCCTTTTAAACATAAAGTCTGCTCCACACCAATTCCCTGTCATGTGATTATATATCTGCTTAACTAGGATGGTGTAAAGGAACTCTAGTAGCACAGTCCCTGACGCATCTAACTGCTAACCAGAAGGTTGGTGGTTCAAACCCACCAGCCATTCTGCAGAAGCAATACTGGGCCATCTAATTCCATAAAGATTTACCACCTCAGAAACCCAAAGGGGGTTGCTATGAGTTGAAATCGACTCAATGTCAGGGGGTTTAGCAGGGCGTGCCAGAGTGGCAGAACCAAGAGAGAAGTTTCCCCAAAGACAAATTCTTGCCTTTCTCTTAGAAAATAGAACCAACTTGCAGTTCTCAGTGGCAGTATCCATCTTGAGAAACAGCTTAAGATACTTGATCCTCACCTGCCACGTATTTATAATAAGCTATTTTATTTTATTATTTTTTTTTTAATTGTGCTTTAGGTGCAAATTTACAGAGCAGAGTTTGTTTCACATTCAACATTTTGTGTACATTTGGTTTCACTCCCCAATTACCATCCCCAACTCTAACCCACTCTCCTCCCCTCCCTTCCCCGTAACCCCCTCCATCCCACACCCCTCATAGTTATGCACTCCTGCATGTCCTGCATTTCCTTCATGTGAATGTTGCCCCTCTGGTGCCCCGTGGTCATCGATTACTCCAAGGGATGCATCTCTACAGAGTATGTGGGTGCGTCACCCTGGGTTGAGTGTTCTGCATGTATGTCTTATTTACTATTGGGCTGAGAGCCAGCCCCTGGGAGTGAGTTTTATTCCAAGCCCAAAGTATATCCCAGGGCCATAGTGTTGGGGGTCCCACCAGACTCCATCCAACCAGTAATTTTGGTCATTATTGTGTTTTGGGATTTTTGTTCCATGTTTTTCCTCCCACTCTATCCAACATCTCCAGTTTTGATCCCTTCCTGAGTGGTTGGTATTGGTAGCCAGGCACCATCTAGTTCTTCTGGTCTCAAGGGCCATCACGTCCTAGGGCTGATTGTTTCCAAATGCCCTTGGTTTTTTGCACTCTTCTTCATTTCCGATGATGGGAGACCATTAGCTGCATCTTAGATGGCCACACAAAAGATTTTAAGACCTAGTATAATAGGCTATTTTATGTTACTCATGTGTGTTAGCTTTCTTTCATTCCCCCCGAAAAAAAACACATGAATTTCTAGAGGGCAAAGCCGATGTCTCATACTTATACCCCTGTGGCATCAATAGTTTTATCAGGCAAATAGTGGATACTCAGTAAATGCTCCTTTATTAACATACTAAGTTAATTTTCAAATTCAGGAGCTCTGAGCTCAAATGGTGATTCTTCTGATGTATTTATATGAGATCAAACACAAATGATTTTAAAGCTAGGAAATTATTTCCCTCATTTTGTTCCCATAAAATAAGCAATGATTTTCCCACACCTTTGAAAGTATATTTCTAAAACGTTTTGTATAAATGGCACATTTTAAATACTAGAATTTGGAGACACACTTGAGAGGATTAAAAATTCCAGACAACACCAAACAAGTCAACAGCAGCTGTGGTGCAAACACTTATGCAAACACTTCTACATCAGAAGTTTCATGGTGATTTTCAAAGGAAGGAATCACAGTTATTGTAGTATTTGCTTGGCCAGTCTTCAACTTGTGTTGCTATTTGAATAGAACGGTTTACTTTCCTGACCTCTCTTTCTTCTATTGTCATAAAGCAAATTCCAACAAAATAAACACTTTGGCACTGATTATATGCTAACACCAAGTCTCCTGTTTCCCATCCCAAATTGAACCCAGTTCTCCACCACAAAGCTCTATGCACATAGCTCAATGTTCTAGCTACAGACATTACTGTGGTGATACGTAATTGCAATTGTAGCAAAAAATAAACTTACTGTGTTGATCAAACTTTGGGGCATACTGTGTGAAGGTTCAGATGCATCAAGATTGAGAATTGGGGTGTAGGTATAATGGTCAATGTTATTATACTAATGAGTTCAAAGTCAGTATATGAGAAAGGGAGACACAAATACTGATGAATAATTTACCATCTTCTAAGAGTTTATGCAAACTAATTGGGTTTTTTTTCTTTCCTATAGTGACCAAAAATGAAGAAGTGAAAATAATTATGGTGAAACACTACAGAATAGGTTTAGATGAAAAATATGAAGTAACAAAAAAGTGGTCTTTGGACGATCTGCAGATGATTGATGGGAAAGAAGCGGATACTGTAAGTGTTACATTTTGTAAAGGAAATGTGGAATCAATACACTAGAGATCGTTATGTTCAATATTGACTTCATATATTCTTGGCATGTACTAAGTGTTAAGATGATATTATATTGTTCTTAAGTGTATAGTTTAGTCTACTGGGATCATCTACTGGTATTTTTGTTCCTTTTTTATGAGTTCAACTTTGAATTTTGTCCATTAAATGTAAAAGCTTCCTTCCCAAAGATCTCTTAAGTTAAAGATAATCCACCAGTCAATCCTGAAACTTTAATTCCATTTTTCAAAATATACGATGCTTCCACCACGACTTCACTATAACTTTCACCTGTCAATCCTAACTTTGCCATCCTGAGCAACACAGAACAAATTCAATTCCTTTCACATAGCCTTTCTAATATTTGAACACAATTATACTGTTCCCTTAAGTTTTCTCTTTTCTAGGCTAAATGCACCCATCCAATTTCTTAATTTTCATATGAAACTCAAATAAGATAATACGTATGACAGGACTGTACAGACTCAAAGGGGTCCTAGTATTTTGGTTTTTTCAAAGACATTGCTTCTAGACTCTTCACTACACTCTTTTCTTTACTTTTAAATGCTTCGGCTTTTCAAGAATTAAATACTATACTCCAGACGTGCTGTGGCCAGTTTGTATTTCCTTTATGTGGATTCTTTATTTCTTGTAAAGACTTAGCTGAAACTCCAAGTCTTTTATGCATGAATGGCTATGTATCCTGATCTGCTATATACTCTACTTACATAGAATACAACCTAAATAAAGGCCCCTGGTGTTCCAGCATCTTTAGCTCTAGCCATCTCTCCCTCAAACTTTATGCATCCACAATGCTTAACTACTAACTCTTGAGGCTTAGAATGTCCAATCACCCCCATCATCTATGTCATTGAATAGAGTCCTACTCATGACTCCCCACATCTATACATCCAGTGCATTGTGGATGTAAATTTGTTATAGCCTTAATCCTACAAACTATAATTGTTGGCTTATTCTGTCTCCCCTTAGATAGAAAACCCAAGCCAAACCAAACTCACTGTCACTTAGTTGATTCCAACTCACAGCGACCCCCACAGGGTTTCGGGAGCTATAAATCTTTATGGAAGTAGACTGCCCCATCTTCCTTCTGCAGAGCAGCTGATGGGTTTGACCTGCTGGTCAGCTGGTTAGCAGCCAAATTTCTTATCCACTATGCTACTGAGCTCCTTAATGGAAAGCCCCTTAAAAACTGAAACTATGACTTTTCATCTCTTAACATAGCTTACTCCCTGAGAAATATTAGGTATTGAAATATCTTACCTGAATATCAAATCTCCTAGCCTGGATATTGAAATTTGGTCCCCTAAGCCTTTACTGAAATCAATATATGCTGTCTCCTATTACCTTGACATATCACCTAGTAATCCTATTAAATTTTTTTCACTTTTATTGCGATTTGGATGAAAGTTTACATAGCAAGTTTATTTTTCATACAGCAGTGCATACACATTTTGTCTCATGACACTGACTGCAATTTCCCACAGCTTAACAGCTCTCTTCCCACTTCCTCCCCATAGTTACTTCTTCCCTGTGTCTTCCTTCCCATCCACTCCTGCCCCTCCCCCCACCCGTCTCCCTGTGTATACACAGCCCTTCTGTTCTCCCATGATTGATCTCTCCAAGGAGTGTATCTATCTAATGTAAATGTTCACCCCATATGTCTATATATTATTGGATGGAAGCCACAGGAGTGAGTTCAATTCCAGACCTGAAAGGCAGCTAGGGCCCATAGTCTCAGGAATTTCACAAGGCTCAATCAGACCAGCAAACCTGGCTTTTTTTTTTTTTTTTTTTTTTAATGATTTTGAGTTGTGTTCCACATTGTTCTCCCACTCTATCCAGCATCTCCTAAATAGATCTCCCTCCAAGTGGTTGACAGTAGCTGGGCACCATCTAGTTCTTCTGGTCTCATAGTCATATAGGCTGAGGATCACGTGGCATACCAGTCACTTGGACTACTTGATTCCATGCATCTTTGGTTTCTTCATTTTTCTTTGCTGTACATGAGGAGAGACCCATCATTGCATCTAGATGACCACTTGCAAGTTTTCAAGATCCCAGTCACTACTTAACAAAGTAGGATGTGGAACAATGTTTTTATGTAGTATGTTATGTCATTGAGCTTGATGTCCCCTGAGACAATGGTCCTGAGCCCATAGGTCCAACTACTCATTCCCTCCAGGTAGCTGGTTATAGCCAAAAAGTCACCACAACCTTGTCCCTGGTCAGCTCTGCTATATACCTGACTATTCTTAAAGCACATACAAATATACTTGTAGAAACATTGTCTGCCAACCCTATACATGGTCAAGGGCACACTGCCCTCTGTCTAGACAAACCTGATCATTCAGCCTGTTCACCCATACATCAATGTTTGCCATCACTGACAACACTGTACTATATGTGCAATAGGGTTCATCTTTGTCGTCTGCACCTCCTATGTACCTCTCTATGTCTTCCTCTTCTTCAATGCCACTGTGTTGATCACTCACATTTGGTACATTGCCCTTCCCTTCACCCAAATCAAAACTTGCCTCTACCTATCTAGAAATGTTCTCTCCTTTCCCCTCCAATCCCAGGTAACCAACAAAGAAAGTTTCATTCCACGTATAAACCTCAACTTTTTACAATAATGAGCTATTTATCCATCTGTGATTGACTTATTTCGCTCAGCATAATATCCTCCAAGTTCAGCCACATTATGCAGTGTTTTGCAGATTCTACGTTATTCTTTAGTGTTGCGTAATATTCCATTGTGTGTATGTACCATAGTTTAGATATCCATTGTTCTGTTGATGGTCACGTAGGTTGTTTCCATCTTTTGAATGTTGTAAATAGTGCTGTGATGAATATGGGTATGCATATATCTATTCTTGTCCTGGCTTTCACGTCTTTAAGATACATACCTAGTAACAGGATTGCTGGGTATTTCTAATTCCAGCTTTTTCAGGAATCACCATACTGCTTTCCACAGTGGTTGTATCATTTTTACAGTCCCACCAGCAGTGTATGAGAGTGCCAATCTCTCCATATCCTCACCAGCATTTATTTTCTATCTTGTTGAACTTTGCTATTAATGCTGGGGCCATTTGGTATCTCATTGTTGTTTTGATTTTCATCTCTCTAATGGCTAATAATCATGAACATTTCTTCATGTGTTTGTTGGCCACCTGAATATCCTTTTTGGTGAAGTGTCCATACCTGTCTTCTGCCCATTTTTTAATTGGATTGTTTGTATTTTTGCTGTTGAAGTGTTGTAGTTTTCTATAAATTTTAGAGATAAGTCCCTTGTCAGATATGTTGATGCCGAATATTTTTTCCCAATCTGTAGGTTCTCTTTTGACTCTTTTGGAGAAGTCTTTGGAAGCACATAAAAATTTAATTTTTAGAAGGTCACATTCATCTATTTTATCTTCTGCCTTATTTTAAATTTTTGATAAGGTTTTGCATGACTTGTTGGTGAATTCATGCTGACTTTCATTCCTGAGTACTCACATAACATTTTTCTGACAATACCTTCTACCTGTCCAATACTTACAAAATGGTTCAATATATTATGGAATATTATGCAGCCCACCATAAGTCACGTTTCCAAAAGAATAACTAATACTACAATTGTTTACCATTTAATACATTTTTTAAAAAGTAGCCAAATAGAAAACTTTTCTAAATTATGTCAATTTTGTGTGTTTAGTGTACCATATTATTTAAAATGGAAATCTGAATCTCAATTCTAATACAAAAAATCATATAGGAATATGTTTATACGTATGTGCGTATATATAGGAAACAACCCTGTACTTTAACTATAATTATCTCTGTATAATGGGGTTGCAACTTTTTAAAATAATTGTTTTCTTCTTTATATTTTTCTATACTTATATAAATGATTATCAATGTCAAATTCATTAATCTCTACTTCAGGAATTTACCTTCCCCACCTCTGTTTTGGGGAGCTCTGGTGGCATATTGCCTAAGGCATGGGACTACTAACCAGAAGACTGGTGGTTCAAACCCACCAGCCACTCCTCAGAAGGAAGGTTGGGCAATATACTGCCATAGTGACACTGCCTCAGAAACCCAAGGAGGAGTTGCTACAAGTCAGATCCGACTCGAAGGCAATGAGTTTGATTTTTGATTACCTCTGTTTTGGATTCCAGGGATATATTCATCAAGCCTGGAAACTTAAACTCATTTGAAACAGCTAGCTATGCTCTGTTTTCTCCTCTCCTTTCCTTTCTTGGCATTTAATTCCGTTTTAACACTGTTGGTTCTTCCATTTCCAATATGAAGATCATTCTCTCTGACAGTGAACTAAACACAAAAGAAAAGTTAAGTGTTTCTATTTTTCTCATCACTTTAGAAACTAAAATATTGAATTTCCTCAAGAAAAACTGTCATGCATAAACAGTAGTTTTTTTTAAGATGTCAGTGGAAGAAGTGAAATTTTCCTGGTTGGTCTGGGAATTTTCACCACACCTCTCTCTTAGAATTCAATCCTCCAGAGTCAGCTTTTATTATATTTTTCTCAATAGCAAGGATGCAGTTTTAAATATAGAACAATTTAGAGCCAGAAAGTTGTCAAGTTTAAAACGGAATGGAATTGAGATTGAAGTCAATTTATAAAGCAGAAATCAAAATGACTGGGGATTTAGAGACTGATGTGGTGCAACAGGAGAGAACTAGGATGATGTAGCAAAAAATAGAGTGAGCTGATAGTGATCTTGGTTCTTATCCTGGCTCTGTTAATAGCTACACGTGTGACTAAAAAATTAGGATCTCATCTATAAACAAGGAGTTACTAAATGATTTGTGAGATTTTTTTTAGCAATAAAATCCTATTGGAAGGAAAGAAAGAAGAAAGGAGTGATGTAATTCATGTTCAGGCTTCAGTTATGAAGCTAAGGGGAAACATTAATCCTCTCTGAGTATCGTAAAGGCAT